TGTTTAACAGTGATATTGTCCTGCATATTGACGTAGATTTTTTTTCAAGGGTGTTTGACAGTGATATTGTCCTGCATATTGACGTAGATACACGCCCATTCAGTCTGTTCGGTACGATGGAGAAGACCGCCAGATTCATCCTGGAATTTCAAGGCGAAGGTTCTGTATAATTTAATGTGGAACGTGCGAAAGCGCCATTTCTTGGTGACAGCGAATACTGCGTGTCACATATTCCGCTCAGTCTGGACCGCCTCATAGCGTTTACCAGTAACTTGGGTCATAGTTGTTCTAAGTTGAGCTGTAGCAGGGAGAACAAAAAGAGATGATCGTAATGGCGTTTCGCAGGTCATAGTAGTGGGAACAAAATGCATCGGTCAGTTAACTAAGCCCGTTTGGGTACGGTATACTTATTTGTCGTAGATCCTCGGTTCTTACCAAAAAATCTTCCTCAGAGAACACAACACCGTTGTTTGACTTGAGGGGTGGTTCACTGAAACCCAGGGAAGTTTTAACTTTGGCTACGACGACTACGTAACCCAGCCTGGTAAATCGCAGGAAACCGTTAGAAGGGTTCACTCTAAAACTTGTCCAGAAATTTTTTTCTTGTTTAAAAGTTTTAGGATTCACTTATCGCATGTGGATTCAAAAGCATGCATCTTGAACAATTCGTGAACCAAACCTCTTCAGTTCTATCTTGATAAAACTCATCCAAACGTCTGGTCAAGCCCCAGATGACATGGTCCCATAGGACAGTGTGGTTCTGTTAGTGTTTGACGGGTTTTCACCATAGTCTGTCACCGCAGGGGATGAACAAACTGATATTTGCGTTGTTGAGTGCTAAGGCACAGCCACTGCCGAACCGCTACATTACGACGCACTGATGATGTCCCGCTAGCTTGGTGATGAAGCGTTTGCCTATCCCAAAGTACAAACTAACCACGCTGAAGTGATGCTTCGTTTTGACATTTTCTCTTCTCTTTAGGCTTCAGGGTTGCACCTGCAACATTGCTAATTGAACATTCAAGCCTTTAAGTATCTGCAGTTGGTAACGATAGTGTTTCACATTCTGAAAATTATAGTGAAGGTTTTTTTACCTACGTTTATCTCATCTTTAAACAATATAATCTTTCGGTATTGAGCCGAAAGCCTCGTGGATCACTTGGTAAACCCGAATCATTTGATTATTTATCTGACCATGCAAACCACAGCTATCAAAGCGCGATCAAAAGTTCAAGGTCTTCACCGGCGACATAGAAGTATATCGCCGACGTTGTGGCACTGTGATGAGCTTGGTCTGCTCCTTTTGAATTTCAGTCTACTTAATCTTGTTTATTGCTAATCATAACTTCAAAATACTTCACCCAAAAGCCAAAATACAGCACAACTTCTTTACAAGCAAAATAAGTTTTCAGTCCACTTTGTAGTGTACACTTTGCAAAATGATTTAGAAACTACGGAATATTCCTTTGATGAGGTAACTTGTATTATACGCAAGGGTTAAGAGGACCATTTATTATCAGGTAAAAGGTCTTTCATCGAGAGATCTGATCCCGTTTCTCCATTGACCTTCGCCGACAAATGGAATGACATTTTCCGGAACTTAATTTTTTGGACTTTTGGAAACAGACTCCATCAATCAATCAACAGTTTAATTATTTTTCCCACATCCACTTAAGTCGCTACTAGTCGATCCCTAGCGCACAAAACACGTACATACGGTGTGTGGCCCGGACTGCGACGACCATGCATTGTGCGTCAGTTCGTCCGTATGTGCATGTATGCATGCACGCTGGGACTCTGCTTGCATTTACGTCTGTAATTCGACTTTGTGAGGGAGAAACGGTGACGTACTCTACTCAAAGGTTGTTGCCATCCTATTTTAATCTATACAGAGATGACAGTCGGTCATCAACATATAGGGTAGGCAGGCGCAGCCACACACTGCACTGTATGCCCGGCTAACGAGATCGTGGTCTGATAGGTTGTGCGTCGAACATTTGACGTCAACAAAATAAATCAGCTGACTTCACTGTTACATTCCCCAGTCAGCTGATCGGCTGGATAGGTGTGTACGAGAGAACGACTGTGCAGGCACGTGCGTGAGAGAAAAGGGTGAGATCGATCAACCAGCTGTTTGCAGTCTCGCGAAAATTCAGTCTGTAAGTAATTGTAGCTGTAGTCTGTTTGTCTGAACATGTAGTTGCAATTTACCAGGAAAGTCTCTGTGTTCAACCTTTTTGTCTAGTAGCTACAGCTTTTTTCCGCTCATTGCTGGCCTCCAGACAGCCCACTTCAACCGAATTCGATCCTGTTTCTGGTATCGCAAACATTAGTGCAATAACGGTGGATCTAAACTTAGAGCACCTGAGGCTTGCAGGTCAAAGACACTTCACTTGTACTGATACTTGCATCCCTGGATTAGCCAACTGTGGTCCCCAAGCCCATTTGTTTTTGCCTGTCACGCACTGTTTCACCTTCACTTGTGCTGTTTGACTGATAGCTCTCAAATGTACTGTCACGTGACAAACGTTATATGAAATAAAATGGAATGTATTTCTTGGAGGACCCTTGTTGAAATATTTATCAGCTATCACTTTCTCCATATTGGAATGCAGTCGGACAAGAGAAACAGTTTATGTCGGAGCATGGAGAAGCAGCGATTAACTTCGGCGGAAAAATTTCAAATGATGTGGCATTTGTGAGCAGAACTATCCATTCTACCTTCATCAGTGAAATTCAGAAGTGCACACGAAAGCGAAGTCAGAAAACAGGGGGAAGATGTTGTGGCTTTTTTAGTTGCTTTCTTTGTTGTAGACCTCGCAGTCACCATCCAGCAATCCGATTGTGAAGCTCGTGGGGCAGTGCAGAGTGAAATCCTTAGATAAGGAGATTTTTATTTAGAAAGACAGATTTGGAGACCAATGTAAGGTATGATTCATCTATAGCAACAGCTGGAGATACCAGTCCAAAAAGGCCGTTACGAAGAAATGTGCGTCCTAGAGAATGTTGTGTTCTGCTGCTTGCTCGTGAACTCAACTAGATTCCATTATGCCGCTAACGTTCACTTGATAATTTCAGGGAGAGGAGTTGGTTTATATGGCATCACTGTTAGAATGAGGAGTACTCACTCTGCGTCATAACGGAAGTTTGGCCGAATAGACTGAAAGCAATCGGTATAGAGGAGTGCTCGCTGCAGAGGGGCATGATGCACACAGACAGACCTTACGAAGACACACTGTATAGAGGTGTATTTGCACATCAATACCCTTAGAAACAAAAAACAGCATGTGGTCAGCCGGTCCAAATTTTGAGCTAATATCACTTGTCGGTTCACTGAATATCTGATGTTCCTGAGAGTGGCAAATTAATCTCTCTGAAAAGGAATTCTTGGAATTTTTTATGACTTGGTTAGGATTCAGAAGAAACGTGGGCGGAATTAGGACGGTACCCGTGATGAAGATCACTTAACGCCAATCATTGATGAAACTAACAAGGCTTTTCAAGTCCACTCGACTTAGTGACAACTACGCAAATGACTGGGTTAATAGAGTTTAGAGATAGGTATAGGTTTGTCTTGTGTACTGAAGATCAGCTTCCTTATTTATGTCCACTGCCTCAACGGGAGAGAAAAGTTGAGTATTACAATCCTTGGGATATTCAATCAACACATCTGACAATATACATGCAACGTGGCTTTCCAAGACTGCTAAAGTCGCCGTCGTTTCGTGCCCCATCCAGATAATCAGGAGTTTTATTTCATGCTAATTAAGGAGGATTTTCGTGACCAGAAGGGAGTGAGGTCGTTCACCAACCGTCTCTATCGTATGATGTTTACGGCCTTTGATCAACTGGGAGTGCCAATCTTCAATATCCTCTATCAAGCTCCCACCGCAAGCACTCACTGTATGCAGTGAATGCTTACAAACACCAGTGATGTGTTAGTATGATATGACTTCACAGTTTCTGATGAGTCTAACAGGTACCGTAGTTTACACGAGGGAGCTGACAATGGTTGTTGAATATTGTATGCCTTAAAATACATGATGGACATTCTTTCCGTTTTCCGACTGTCGACTGTGCTAGCCTTTGGGATACAAACACAATTGCTTGTACTATCTTTAAGTGCGCTTTTCAATCTTCCGTCTTAAAGACAGTTGTTTCTTATTGACACCTTAAGGCAAAGCGTGCTTCCTAAATTAGTCATTTTTCAAGGCTTTTTGCTATATTCCCGACCTGTTTGGTTGAGTTAGCGCAGTCAGTGACGTATATGGACGACATTTCAGAGTAACTTTCGGTGTTCTCGGAGGCGAAAAGTCACAATCATTGTTACCTCACTAGCATTTGAAGTTCACCATGATCGTGTGGTAGAGACACATAGTTCACCCTACTTAACTAGATGATCGGACGGACTGGTTCACTTCATACTGAGCGGCCGATTCCCATCCAGTTATTTAGCCATGCCTGTTTTGTACACTACTTGACTACAGACCATCTGATGGCACCAGTCTTCGGCGAGGGTGAGCGACTTGAAATTCAAACTCTTACCACTAAGTATGACTACCGAATCCCAACCACCTTGGGACGCTATCACCAACTTTTTCCAAATACTGCGTAGATGAGTGCTTATGTAGTAATCGATCATCATGGGGATTTCACCCATTCCGTTGCAGTAGACTCGTATGAAACCGCGTGAATCCACAAGATGGCATTCAAAAGCCACTGTCAGCTGCTGGGGTCATGTATGTCTAGACCGCCACAGAGTATCACAAAGTACACGGATGCTGTAGCCTGAGATTACGCAGACCTTTTTCGTCGTATGACTGATATGAATGATATTTCCACCTTTCTGACAACGAAAATTCTCGAAGTTCCACAAACTAATCAGTGAAGACAGCTACCAGTGAAAGGGTTCAAAGTAATGACCAACAAAATAGGTATTCTGTACTGTAGATATTTATTATGAAAAATGTAACTTAATCCTGAGTTTATTTTCATTTCAGATGGGGTTTTCAAATACGTCCAGTACTGAAATTCGAAATGCTCGTACTATTTGTACTGCTATACAAACTTACCGTCACTTTCTGGAAAAAGAAGCATGACATTATAATGAGGGTGAGTGATCACAGGACCACGTGACTAGGCAGATAGTTGAATAGAGTGTCTGTTTCCACTATCAAAGGGAAGAATGGATCGATTTGTTTTAAGGGGACCAAGAAATTTTTGTTCATTATTGAACGAATGCTCTTCGCATCACTGGAGTTGTCCGTTAGCCACGATTTAGCACCAACTTGTCCACAGAAGGGTCACTTATACGAAAGACATTTGTGAACTTCACTTGATGTTTTGCCTTCGGAGAGATTCAGCAATGTCTTGGTGAAAATATCAATAGCATTAAGTTCCACATAATTGAAGACAATGCAGCCAACAAAATGCCGGTGGCTGGATAATCGGTGGAAAGCTTTGGCACTTGAAGAAGATCGCGCAGTAAAATCTTTGGATTTCTCTCACCTGAAAAACAATATTCCCCATTGGTATAAAAAACTCTGAACGACCAAACGTTCTATGGCAAAAGGATGGTGGTGGATATTTTGTGGATGATTTTCGGGGGACGGGACGGACAAAATCTTCCATGAGTACAAGTTACCCATGGGGTTACCTTACTGGAAGAACTTTCGGTTGGTCCACCAATTGGCATGGCGAGGACCCGGTAGTTATTTGAGTTGTCGAGTCGCTCACAATTACCACCTGGAGATGAACCTGTATTTCTGTTCAAAAATAATAGTTTGAGCGAGTCATCCCCTCGAACATCAGGTGAGCAAATTCCGCTGTGACCGGGGCCATTCCACTGTTGGTGACCGCATTTTGAGTTCATCGTGAGCTAACCACAAAATCGCTCCTGGACATGAGGTCAGCCCAAATAAGACTGATAGGGAAAATGAAGAATGCGGTAGTCTCCCGGAACAACTCATTTGGCGCTGGAGTTCGGATAACGTGTTAAGTACCATCGAGCTTTATCCGAGTGGTTTTGAAAAATTGCTCGAAACTCTATCAAGAAATTCCGTTAGTGAGGAGCCCATTAATTTTCAAGGGAGACACAGGAAAGCAAAATATGTTTTCTCAAGGCTAGAAGATTTGATGTGCTGACATCTATTTTCAATGCATTTCCAACCAGAGCCAGTTGCTGTTACTTGGTCGCCGAAACAAACATTTTTGTTTGATTTGATGAATGTGGAAGTTTCATGAGAAACAATAAGTTCAGCTACAACTTTTACATCATAATAACAGAAGGAGCAAGGCCGGTATTCCAAAAGCGAACGTCACACTGAGAACTCGGCATATCCGAACAGTGTTAGAAATGATGTGAGGATTTTTCTATCCGAAAAATGATTGCTTGGGTTAAGGAACGATTTCTAGAGAACTTATTGATTTTGTTCAAGAAGACGAAGGGCATTCGACTGTTTCACTTCAGTTGGAAATCTTTAATTTCCAAGAAGGGTCCACCATCATTAACCAATTCCTACCAATCTAAAGCAATTAAGTGTCAGACAAGCCTCCAGTGAAGAGGACTGAATGCTTGGAAAAGTTTATCGGGGATCCCCAAACTATCGACCACACGTAGTCAGCATCAAAAACAGTTTGGAAAGTACCGGCTTCTCCGGAGGAGACAACAGACAGCAGTTTAAGGCCGTCTCTAGATGAACGAAGGTTGGAAGGTGATCTTATAAAGCCCGGACCTCAGCAATGGCCCTTACGAAAAGCTAATCCAGGCATTGAGTGGTTCATACACGAATCTGACCGTTTGAAGGAAATTCGATAGTTCACTTCACCAGTTTCCTACGAATGCCAAAGAAGTGGAGTTGACAGAAGAGACTTTGACTTGAAACTTTGTCAAATATCCTACCTTGTTAACGTGCGGAACGTTAAGTTTACCTTCTTGATCAGTTGGTCCCCATCATCTCTCGTGGGCCAGAGAGGGGTTTGTAATCGGCGATTGACGTCTGCAGGAGCCGTATTTGTCGGATGGGTTCTTTCAAATGGTACTGTTGCTTGTGTATGGCACTCGTATCGTTCGCAAAACAAAGGTGGGACTGAAAGGATGATAATTTGCAGGGGAATTTCGTTCTCCGCCCTTGTATTTCGGTTTATCTATGAAAGTATTCCGGAGGGTCCATTTAGAAGAAATGTCTGGGATGACTGACCAAAGCCAGCCTTGTATGAGAAAGTGTCGCTCTTTACGCCGTTTTTTCTGGGGACGGACAGTCGCATCATTAAGATATGATTCGTTTGGAATCCTGGGAACAGATCTCTTCGGAACCACTGGACTTGAGAGGATTTCCAGGTGCACAGAACACTGGGATATTTTCTGAATAATGACGTACTTATCAAGCCAATTTCCACATGCGATCACCTAGGATATCTTGATTGGTCAACATCGTCCCGGACCTGAATGTCGCCTCGAAACTGTTAGTCTCCTGGAGAACGAAACAGATCAAAGGAACCCTCCAGAGAGGGATGCTCAAGTAGTCACATGCAGATGGAGATCATGGTTGAGGCCCCTAACCATTTCCAGAACAAATCTGACTATACTGCTGTTGATCAAGTGCGTACACCACATCAAATCACGAGCAAGTCCAGTGTATGAGCTTCAATGGTGAAGCACTGGGTTTCTGATGACTTGTAGAATCGGTCTTGTCACAAGACGGACGCCCGAGATGTACCAGTTTACAGCCAAATCCCACAGGATCTGATAGATTCGGTCTTCTCTTCAAGTGGCCTCTCTTACTTGTTCCTGCTGGTTCACTAAAATTTCCCCGCGAATTTTGTGTGAACTACTGCGAAACCCCTCAAGACTCACCGTCGATCACTTGGGAATAATCTGGTAACTACTCATAATTTCCGTACATTGAGGTGCTTCAATGTACCTGTCACTCACACAAACGTAAAACAGGGTTCCTCAAACGGTGCTCTACGGAACAAGACGTGAATCGACAGCTCAGTGATTGGAAGGAACTGTCTAACAAACAGTTCAGAGACATAAACAACGCTCTGTCCCATCCACCCCATGTTCTGACTCTAGTGCAAAGACCAACAAGGCACGCTGAACAAACATACGACGCAACACGATCGCGCATGCTTACCATGCACCGTCTTTCGACAAGCACCCCTTGATATGCCCATTTGGTCGACCCTCAAAACCAGCTTTGTTCGCGCCAACGGACAGGAATGCAGGAAAGCAGGTTGGTGTGTTGGTGAGTCACTACAGACCGTTTATTTATCTGGTTGACCTGGACTAGACAGCGGCTTTTCGCTTCGATTGTGTCGGATCGATATACGAGTCGAGCATACTGCTGACGCATTTCCAGACAGGTTCAAACAATATGTGGTGGTCAGCGATTGACGAATCCCAAACGATAAGCTCGGGGTTATGAAATAACCGAATCTCGGGTACGGGTTAGATAGGGTGCACTGCCACTAGAGAGAGGATAGAAGGACTTTCAAAACAAACCTTTCATGGCGGAATACAGTACACATAAGGCTGCTGGAAGCACCTCTACGACCATTCGACGACTTTGATCTGATTGGAGTATTTTCCTTTAAACTTTCGGGCTACATTGAAGTCAGTCGACAAAGAAAAAGCTAGGAGCACTGTACGGCTTGTACAACTGACATCCTTGTTAGAAATCCCTGAGGAGTTGTCGTGCCAGGATACAGTCAACAAGTGAACACGTGGTGTGAATTCAGTGGTTGGATGAGTAGTGGTGTTATGCCCTGTCTGAGTGTGAGTTAACCAGACGGCTGCTAATCTGCTCGTGGTTGAATGACGTAGTCTTCAATCTCTAGCCAGGAGAATGTGAGTTCGAATCTCCCTGAAGGTCCGTGAGGTGCACACTACTGATGACTCCCAAAAAAGGTGTCCAGTTGCACAAGCTGTGAAGTGCTTACCGACATTTCAGCATAGATTGATTTCATCTACAGAACAAAACTTCAGTTGAGGATTTGTGAATCTCCTCATACTGCTAACAAGTGACAATCCAAGAATGATAACATCGCGGTTTGTGTGCAAGTTGGAACTATGAAAGGAGGTCACACGCCACCAATCCACTTGCATAAAATTCTTCGTTGACTAAGACGCTCAGGGAGAAGATTAAAAATCGGCAGTCATTTCATTTTAGCAGCTTGCATTGAGAGTAGGAATAACGACAATTGCAGATGAATTGTGTTCATGCAATGAATCTGATCGAACCATAAATTTCTGAAATGGGATTTAGCAACCAGCTTAAATTCATGCACTGAATCAGTGGGCACGAAAGCTGGCTACCACAATCAACCAGCTACCTAAAATAAAATAATGTCTCTTGGGAGGTTTTGTCAGCTTATTGGGAATCATCCTTCAGGACTGTGTGGAATCGAGAACTGGTGTGGAAGTGTTTTTCCGGTACGTTTAGACAGGGTGAATGATATTTACGGATTTGGTGGTTCTTATCTTTTCTTGGACTAGAATCATCTCGAGCACATTCTGTGGTTGAGAATGATACGAAATCAATGAGTCCTAACCCACGGGACCAGATCTGCTCAGTAGGTCGCTCCAGCCACTCTCCCGAGCACCAAGGCGAAAGGCGAAGTGAAAATATATGCCTCTGTTGATACTCATTAATTTCATCAGGCAGGGTGTACCCAGCGCTTAGTTTGAAATTGTCTGTTGACCTGTCATTGGAATTTTGAATACACCAGTGATTGCAGCTGGAACACGGATTCCCACAATTCATTCGAAAAATGCGGCACTTGTACGTCAATTCCTCGTCAACTTCCAGGTCTCAAACTGATCTGTCCTTGTACTTCAGTTCCACTTAAGGGAAAAGCTGGGCATTAGTCTCAGTGCCATTTTGTACAGTTGCTGGGACAACTAGCTAATGGATACTGAATCTAGCGAAGGTGAGAGTTGGGTGGTCAGATTAATTAACCGTTTCAGGACAATAGATGACTGAGGTCAATCTATGCGACTGCGACAATGAAACCTCTGTTGTCTTTGTTTACTGACTGAAATCTAAAAACCAGGAATTCCACAACAACCTTTAGGGTAATCTTGTGTGAACTGCCCTGTGTTTACCAGTATAGAATGACGTCTGATGCTTATTTCAAGCTTGATTTCGGTAATGAATGAATTTCAGTAACTCACTGGTGAATGTTAGACAGTTGTGCAGTGGGTCGTAAGGAGATTTTTGCTTTTTTATACCCAAAACAAACGCTGAAAAAGCAAGAGGCATCAACAACTTTTTCCTCATCTGAAACCTGATGGGGATTCGAATTAACAGCTTTCGGGATGAAGGCCGATATTTACTATTTAGTCAAGAATCATCCATCAGTGATGTGACTAACAGTTGGAAGGATGTAGTTCCAGTGTCCTCCAGCCACGCGGCTGATAGCACGTGACCTGTTATTGACTGGTTGTCTGGCTCGTGAGACCTCATGTGACCAGTCAGATATTTCCCCTTTGGAAGAGATTAAATGGATTTGACAAATACACTCATTTGCATGCCAATTTGGTTTTCACAGGTGGCTCACCTGAAACCCAGCTGAATTTGTCGTTTATGATGTTCTTAAACAACTTAATGTGCTGCACCAGGCCGCCTCATGTTTCAGTTGGTACAATATTCTAGATATCGCGCTACACTGCACTAATCATAAGGTTGCTGAAACCTCTTCGACAACTCACGACCTACTTCGCCCTTCTTGGGGCTCATCAGCTAGACACAGTCCCCGAGTTTCTGTCAATCTGGGTTCAAGTAGAACATGACGGAATCCTGGAGACCTACCTAATGAGGCCAAAGAAGGGCGTACGCAGGAAGATGTGTTTGTCTGAAGTAGTTGTCAGGGGAAGTTAGAGTAGCTCAATAAAGGAAGTAATTCTGATGTGCTTATCTGTGTGCATAGAGAACAGTCTCACAGTATGTCTTTTGTCAGTCAATCTCAAGGGTTGGATGATTTCTGTGTCCATCATTATCACCTTGGAAGAATGGCACTAAAGTAGATCCTGTATTGAGCCAGTAGTATGAATAGGCAATCAAATAGTCGAATTTTAAGAGTGTCTGTATAAGTTCTGTCTTATTATGTTCTGCTATTCGTGAAAAAATCACTTTTCACCTTGGGTGATTTTCTTAAAGGTGTCCCCGTAGGAGGTGCCCCGTCGCACAAATGTTTAATCGAACCGACCCCTTTACTCCCTTTTTGGCAGGGCTCTTTTTTGGGAATCCCCTGGGTAGGAGGCACAGAAACAACATGATCTTCGTGCATGATGTCCGTCGTGCTCTACCACCCCCGTCATTCTGATAGTCATTTGATAGTCAGCTCCCTGCTGAAATGGAGAGACTAATTTATGTCGGTCCGCTGTGGTTGTATCTCCAGTACAGTACTTCTGTATCTCTATTCATACACAAAATGATGAATAGTTTTCAGAGATTGTGCACTCGAAAACAGCTGTGAATTCTACTGATCTAATACTTGGTGGCATGACATTATCCTCGGAAGTTCTGCTTTTTGTTCGAAGAACTGATGAGATGTTCGCCAACAGTGGCAGTTGGCCTTTCAACATTTTGATACCAATCGAAGAGGCCTCACCAGTGCAAAATGCTGATGTCCCTTCTGCAGACGAATGGTTTACACACCCAGCGGACAGACAGACACTCACTTGAACAACAACCTTGTGAGTAGTTTCCTTTGTGAAAATATACTGTGATACCTCGAATATCGTGCCAACTGAATCATGAGGCGGCCTGTGTGCAGCACACTCAGTTGTAGAATATCATAAACGAGAGATTCAGTCGAGTCTGTAATGTGTTCTGTAATGTGGAATATTGGTAGCTCGGGTGTATCAGTCGAGTCTCTCGTGAAAACCAAACTGATTTGCAAATGAGTGTATTTCTCGAAAACAACCCGTTAACTTCACCGAACCTTTGCTAGCTTGATACATTCCCTCCGTAATTTTATCGACTATCAGACAAAACTCCTCCACAGAGATAAGATTTTCTGGATGCCACAAATTTAGTCATTAGAACAGTGACCTCAATAACTCGTCATCTAGCGTGGGGAAGTAAAATTTAGTGTCTCCGGTACAACTATTCACGATCACTTTTTTCATTCGAAATTGGGACCTCACTTTGGCAAGAACAAGCCCGAAAAGAAAACACTCATTTACGGATTAGGATAGTGGCCACAAGAAACTCAGCACAGTCTCAAGTGGCCCTACACTTTATACTATTCTTCAGTTAAACGTACTGGATGAAAGCTTGAGAGCGATTATGAACCTCGCAATCTTTCACATCCTCACCATGTTGAACGTCTGTGGCCTGATTATCGAAGGTTTAGCACGGACACAAACCCAACAAAAGTACGTCACATCTCATTTTTAAATACGCGCGTTTTCGGTTCGTATTCTACAAACATCCTTGGCAAGGCGTTGACGTAGACGGGAATATTCCCACACTGCAGAGGCAGCGCGTAGGCTCGAAAGAAACCTCGTAAAAACCAACGGGATTGAGGTAGCATTGCTCTCGGTTAGCTTTGGATGGAGGAGAGGTCAAGCAAACGGCATACAAGATACAATAATAATGATAAAAATAATGATAGTAACGTATAACATTGTGTGTATTCTAGCACCCAGGACCACTCATTCTAAGGGCTGGCACGTATTCCTTTCTTCTGTCAGCGTAAACATGTACTCACTATCCCCAAATCCACCCGCAGGATGATAAGATTGACGCTTCAGGTTTGCCAAACCTGGCCAGAGATGGACTAACTGGGGGCGGAGAAAAGCTGCTTTGTTGTCTTAGTGTCGTATCTAGGGTAATGATATAATATGTGTACTCTCGAGATAATAATGGTGTCCCTACGGCAACTCAGTTTTTGCTACACTAACCCTCATTTAGTCCAACTACCACATGACCACCTCACAGTTCCACAGGAGGTTGGACTTCATGGTAAGTAGATCTACTCAGTGTCTGTGGGCTTCGTGATTGCTCTGTGGTAATACAACTATTCTAAATAGTTCACCTCCCTACCCCTTTTTTTTAAATCTGACCCAGGAAGCGACAATGTGTGCACCATAGACGTAGTCTCCGCTTTATAGGCATGAAAGCACAGAAAATCCAAAATGTTAGTCTTTATGCTCAACTAAGTAAAGTTTTGCATCTAAGGTAGAAGTGCAATCTATCCAACTATGCCTATGAACCCGCAAATGGGCAGTTCACGCAATAATCAGGTCTGATGAATATCCGCTTTGCTTGGTCATGGAATTCAGTTACCAACCCCCATTAACTCTAGAAGTTTTCTCGATTGAAATATTGGCATACTTGTCTGAAAAACCAAACAGCTACTGACCTCTTGGCTCACTAACAAAAGGGTTTCAGCTTTTGTCAGTGGTCATTACTAGACATAAAGAGACCAACAGAAACTTTTCAGACAAAGAAAATATACCATTTTTACCAATAAAGTAACCAGTCAAGTGAATGGCAGCTTGTCAAATCCGTTTTTTTTTTGCTGGGGAGCGAAAGGAGTTTCTCGATTGAAATATTGGCATACTTGTCTGAAAAACCAAACAGCTACTGACCTCTTGGCTCACTAACAAAAGGGTTTCAGCTTTTGTCAGTGGTCATTACTAGACATAAAGAGACCAACAGAAACTTTTCAGACAAAGAAAATATACCATTTTTACCAATAAAGTAACCAGTCAAGTGAATGGCAGCTTGTCAAATCCGTTTTTTTTTTGCTGGGGAGTCAGCGAAAGGAGTCTACTGTTTATCTGGGGTCATAGCAACCATTTCCCATTGATGCACGTGTCCAGACCGGTACTGGTTAACTAACCGACAGACACGTTTTCGCCGCCAAAATTTGTTTTTCTCACAGAACGTTTTGATTTCGAAATAGAAATTAGTGACTTCTGCGTTTTTCTGTATTTGTTGCTGAGATGGTCGTTGGAGAGAGAAGGTTGCAGTGTAATTCAATAGCGCCATTGTGTTGGTAGTGTAGGCAAGTTTGGGGATAGTCTAATCATGATTTGCTCCTGAAAGTGATGTCAGGCTGTGATAAAAAAATGAGACGAACTGTACAGCCGTTTCGTCCCTATTGAGATTCATCAGCAGGGTGTACCTTATGTATCTCTAGGGTGATTTGAATCCGCAATCTCCCGGTGGGTACTTGAAGGTCAAACTTTTCGGACAGAAGCGGTTGGTCGGCAGTGTGAGCCAGCCAACCCGTGGTCACGTGATGTGGATTCAGTGATTGAAGGATGACTGGCGTTACGCCCCGGTGTGAGTGCGAGTCAGTTACACGACTCGTAGTGTGTAGCTCGGGTGAGTTTAGATGTTGTTAATCGGGTGGCTGTTGATCTGTTCGCCGAGCTTGGCACTTACGCACCCAACTGCGTACTGCTGATGTCTCCTCGTATGGTGACGAAACGTTTGCAAGCCAATTGCCAAGCTCGGAGAAGAGTTCAATAGCCACCTGATCAACAACCAATAGTCATACTGCTGCTCAGCCGCTCGTGGCCGAAGGACTGAGTCTTCAACTCAGCCATTAGGTTGCCGTATCGCATTGTCCGACAGATTCGTGAGATACACGCTGTTGATGCTTCTCAACAAGGCTGGGACAGCTGTACGGCGCTTCTCGACAGATTGACGTCATTTACAGGGCGGTTACTCATTTTTATCGACAAGTTTATGTCTGAAATGCTTTTCCTCGCTAGTTTCCATGTCAGAAACAGATACTGCGTTATGTTCTCCTTCCTTGATCGACGTCCAACTGTAATGTTTTTGTTTGAGTTCAACCAATCCTTGACGTTAATTGCAAAAGACAACTGAGTGCTAACTTGAACATACTTGATTGACTGTCATGTTGATCATTATTGTGAAGTAGAATGAGACTGGCCCTGGAAAGCCTGACAGGACAAACCATATTCTGCTTCGTACTCATCAACTTCGAATCCAAGTTTCTTCCACGAGATTAGGGAAGAAGTTAGAAATAACACTTGACTGTGGTTAAATTTCAGGAAAAATTTGAAGCCATATGCTAAATCCAGAAATCACTCTGAGATTATTTGTCGCCAATGCGTGTTACTTCCGGTCAAGTCTTTCTCTTTCCTGATTCCTTTCGGCAGTGTACTTCATTTTTCTTGGATCTTTCGAACTTTGGAACGATGCCAGCTTCCTACTTGCTTGTAAGCTATTCGCTGCTTGCATGCTGTCACGGCTCAGCCAGGCAACAACACTTCCAATCTACTGGCAACTGTGCAGGGTTCCCGTTGTTTTTGAACTCGTCTGATTGGGCCCTGTGTTCTCCTCTCAGCAAACATTTGAATCTCTGAGTATTTCCCCATGACACTGATTCTAGTTTGAACCTTTCTTTCATTGTTATTCCAGTGCAAATTATTCCTGAGGCTGCTGAGAGTAAGCATCCTACAAGCGTACTAGGTAGCCCGAACGGAGTGCAAGTGACTATTTCTTTTCCAAGTTAGTTGTGGTCTCGCTCTTATGCACTGTAAATACGATTTGGTTATAGGTAAAGGAAAGCGCTCTGAAAAAGCTGCCACCTATTTTGTTTTGCCTTGTCCACTGTCCTTTCACGAGCATGTGACCTGTGTTATTTGGCCATATACGATTGAAGGAAACTTGAATGTTCATACCTATTCGAATTCGGCGATGACTACGCTATCGCTTTCTAGTGAGACCACCCAACTAAAGTTTGTTCGTTGTTGTGTTCTTGCGTGTGTTGCGTGAGGTTTGTTAAGGATGCTGTGTGGATTCTGTCATGATCTCCGGATTTGTTACTTTATTTGCTGATTGTTCTTGATACTTTTTCCTCAACCCGTAGGGCTTTTTTCCACCAATTCTCCACGCTTTCTTTATCTTCCTACTCGTTACCAGGGAATTGTTTCTTGATAATCGCGTGACATTTAATCAAGAATCAGTGCTGGTGATGATGACGGTGATGAGGAATTCATTTGCAGTGGCCTATGTGACCTTCCCTATGGAGAAGGTCAGTTGAAACCGTGTAACTTAAGAGGTCAAAATGCCAGTTGACAAACTGTACCATCGTTCAAAAACTAGTCCATGCAAAAACTCTTCATATGTCTTTTCCTCAAGGTATACGCACAAGCCCTGAACCGCCCATGCGAAGCTAGCCGTTGTCGACTACTCGTAAGACTAATAGCACTGCCTCAGTACCGGTGACGGTTGGCCACCGAACTCTAAGAAACCTAAATGAGCTCTCTTGTCTAAAGGTTAGTGACTACGGCCTACACAGTTAAGAGGAGACAGTTTCGAAACAGCAAATTCAAAGTTCATCCTCAACACTTGAACAGCCAGTTCACCTAGCTCCGGGCAGTACCTCTCCATGATGAAAACTTTAAGTGGTATCCGCCACTTGAATCAACAAAGCAAGCTTTCTGCAATAGAGGCCGAATTTTGAAGTCAGCTTGCAACACCTCTGCACTAGTAAGATACAAACTGGACGGTGTATACATTTCCCCAGTCTCTTTCAATAAATCAGTATGATCACAGAGCGGCCGTAGATAGGCCAACAACTACAATGAACTAAGATTCACTTCAAGCTGCCTGAAAATGTTTAGAACTGTTATTCGGATGATATGAGGAAAAGGGTTTGAGAAGCGTTTGGCAACAGTGACGATAGATAGTGGCGTTGTTCAAGACAAAAGACAGACATTGGCAGTGCTCCAACCGCAAATTCCTTGTCGCGCATGAAATCCACATGTTCAATGTATCCAGGTGAATGGTGCAAGGAACACCGTAAGGTCACGAGTCCTTTGCGTGTTATGAATTCCATCAACGCGCAAAGTGCTGTCTGTGTTCGACCGAATGTTCAAGAGTGCGAGGGTAGTGCACTGAACAGGACGATCTCGTGCGTAAAGCGAACGTGGAAGGAACGTGACTAGCGCATGCTGCTATGCGATATGATTAGGTTGATGGGTAGGTGCCTAATGTTCCAGTGCACCAACTAATGGTCATCAAGCAACATATTCATTCATATTTAACAGCCGGCGTTAGTTGCAAAATTTGGACATGTCCTTGTTTCTCTTCGAATATATGAACTGGGGACAATTTCATGTTTCGTATAATCGACGAGCAACTGGGTATCCAGTGATGTAGAGCAGGACATTTTTCAGGTGCATAATTTTGTTGGAAGGACCGATATCGGGCAAGTAATCTGGTTGCGAAACGTTGGTGTTGATGTAAGAGCACGAAAAATTCGAGAATGACTAGCACCACGTCCAGCGATGAGTATTCGAATCGGATGCCTCATTCAGCTACTGATACGTCGTAGGTAGTTTATAACTAATCATTTTGACGCTGTCTTCAGTGGTATTTCCCGAAACTTGCTTCAAGACGCGTAGAATTCTTGTCTCGGGGGCACCAAGCCTTTAGGAAAACGACGCTTGAACTACTTGATTCTGGGACTGTCTCAAGGCTCTTTATTCATTAACGACAGTGTTTCTCTCAAGCATTTCCATTACGGCGGGCTCAAAAGGAGGTGTAGCTGGGCAACCAGCGTACGCACTTTCAGTGTCTGCCAAATTCTCCCTAGGAGGATTTAAATACACACGTGCGATGCTAGTTTTTAGGTCAGACTCCAGAATATAACCGCAGGCAATATCTGTGAACAGGCAGCGTCATGACATTGGTAGCTACGCGTAATTAATCAGGAGCTTAATTGAAGTCCTTTTTTATTAGGAAAAACAAATGAATTTGATTGGGGCGAACCGAATATCAGAAAAAAAGAAACGGTTTCGGTAGCAGTATTGTATTACGGACCAAGATATTGTATTTTCTCACTCTGAAAGAATTAGCTGGGTGGATCTTCTTCTGTCAGTGACATAGCATTTTTCATTTTAACGAATTATCTTTCAAATTCTTTTAATGCCAGCGAAATTTTCAGATTGTTTTGGCCAATTTTGACGGATGTTCAGAGGGCAATGCTTTACCAAAGAGGCTTGTCAAAGGCGAATTCTTCTATCTTTTATAGGTGTGCAAAAACCCTTTGGTACAACTAGAAGCAAACTCTGCACGTTTTAATGGCATCACATGGTTCAGCTGCAGTTTACGAATTGATATTGTTTTTCACGACCTTAGTCGGTAAACACCTGGACTAAGTGCAGAACGTGCAATGTGACCCAGTCAGTGAGCTCTAGATGTACTTGGTAGTATTTTGGTGCTTGAAGTAGCGGTTGCGAAGCGTGTTTTTCTTTCAGTAGACCGCAGCAATACAGGTCTAAAGGCTGGCATTTTCCCCACCCTAGTAAGGTGGGAGTACTGACTACGTTATTCTCATTGTTTTTATAAATAGTTGACCGCAAACTTGAATAAGAATTTTCAAGTTTATGGGTGACGCACATGCTTTGGACATAGTTACACGGAAAAGGACGCACTCTAAGCGGCACCAACAGATGTGGAGAACAACAAATAGGGCACAGAAGTGAACAGCAACCTGGCTAAAGATGTTCCAGTATTGATTTTCCAACCTGTACTTCTTCATGTTCATTACTGAGCAGCTTGAAGCTATAATTTTGTCTGTCATTTGCGAAGTGGCGCTGAGAATACTGTTCTTCTTTCAGATGCAGAAAAATGAGTGGACACACAGGAGACCATCACGAATAAAAATGCAATCCTAAAAAAATTGTTCCAAGTACATTTGCAAACGGATGCAACACGATAATTCGTATGTGTGTTATGGATCCTGTCTAAGCACGTTAGGGGGCACATATTTGCGCAAGAAAATCCAACGGGCTTTTGTTAGTAAATTCCATTAAATAGTATGTGGCAGTTGTTTTGTTACTCTAACCTCTGAGTGCTGGTGACGCAGTGCACATATATGGCCCAGTCGTGCAGTCAGTGGCGCTCGTGCATAGGAGCTATCGCCTTCAATGCGTAGCTACCCAATTTTCGAACAAATGGAACGTGCTTTCGCCTCCAAGGTATGGTTGTATGTTCCACTTTCCCGTTTTCCGGTGATGAAAACTGTAGCAGATGGAACCAATGTGCGTATGGCACACGGTTTATAGCTGATAAATTGATTGATTGGCAGTCTAAAAATTAGACCGCTGTAAAATAGAGAACGACGGCAGTTGGCGAGCGTTGGAATCCGGCTAGTTTGTTTTTAAAATACCCAAACGCCCACACAGTATTTTAACACAGAGCACACTCCCTACCTGGAGTTTCTGCGCTCATGACACACACGCCTTAGATCCTCAGGTAATTGTTGGACGCCCAGTAACCCCAACGTTTGTCGTGACTACTGGCTTGGAAACAAATGGAAAAATGGAGGCTGCAACTGTTACTTGTGACCATTCTTGTGTCATTCGTGATTTTACAGGTTATTTCCCTTTTAGCACCCACAAAAGGGTGTCCTGCACATTTTATCCTCCGTTTTGACTTGTCTAGGCCAAAACACTAAATGTATGAGAAAGTTTGCCTAAACATTGAAGCTGCGCGTTTAAATTGATTAATGAGGAATTATTCACGAACACACCAGCACTTCTTTGTTTATCTTGAGGTTAACCAAAAGATGTCGGTACATGGCTACCGGATGGTTTAGAGGCGATAAGGCTGGAAGTAACGCTACAAAAGTAGTATGAAAACAGTGTTTTAGCGGAGCTACCAAAATGTCGCTGGATGTAACAATCACTCAGCTGGAGTACCCTTTCGGGGCCTAACTGCCTTGCCACCTGAAGGAAGCGCGAGGGCTAGGCTACTTCCAGACTGCCCAAGCCTAGACAGAGAAATTCGAGAGGTAGAGGTCGGGTTCGAACCACGGACGTTCTGGTCAGTAAATTCGCACTCTAAGCACTACATCATCTCTCCCCTAACCACTGGACCATCATAGTACGACAGGCATTATTAAATATAGCGTTGCGTCTTACTGTAAACTGTATGACTGTGTTGTGATTTACGTTTTAAATGCGAGAACTGCTGAAATGTTATAGTAAAGTGCTTGTCACGTCTGAGTAGTAAGTAGCTCGTTGTTTGTAATGAAATGTAGTGATGGTTTTGTGACCCGTCTTAGAGTTTACTCTTCCGCCTCCATTTTAAATATTTTTGATCATCTGTGTACCGGGAAGCCAGAAACTTCGATGTTGTTGACTTACCAGACTCTTTTCACCGATGCCGGACTCACCAGCATCAGAAACTAGTAACCCAACAAATGAAGCAACCTCGTGTTGAAAAATTTGCTGAAACTTTGTCATTCAGCTTATGTTGAAAAGCTGTTGAACCCATCTTTGTTTGATGCCTGTGTCAACGAGAGACTTAACTCAAACTCTCGTCTACGACTTCTTTTTTGACTAAGTGTGCTGAACTCAACCTTCCGCATGTTTCGCTTGGTACGGTATTCGAAATATCGCCGTGCGGCATTTTGGTACAGCACACTTATCAAAAGGTTACTGAAAAAAAACTTTAACAACTCAGTACAACTTTCGCCATTCTGGGGTACATCAGGTGGGCGAATTCCAAAAACTGTCATCAATCTTAAGTTCCAGATGAGCACACATTTGCACGCAGCTGGTGTAGTACACTCATTTGCAAGTTACATCAGCCTTGAAGAGAGGCCTAATCCAATATCTCGCGTATATTTCGTGTTCAAGTAGGATACAAGTTTGATGAAACCACGTCGACTACGCCTGTAACGGTGATACTACTGATGGGGGAGGCATGCGAGTAGTGAACTTGCTTTGCGTCTCTTGAAAAGGGAGACCTCTCGCCGAACTAGTGGAGTCACTTTGTAGCATTTGCTTTGATTTGAGCAACACTCAATGAATATCCAGGAAAGTTCAGGAAGACGCGTTCAAGAGATGATGGATGTTCAGTTTTTGTAAATAAGATGCATATGAGAGTTTCCTTTCCTGTCCAATAGTCTGTAACTGGTCAATTGGCATTTTCTAATAAATAACCCCGCAGCGAAGGCCTTCTTCCTTTCACGCCTACTTAATCAGCCTCAGAACGAGCACAACTGGCACTGAGATACTTCAGCAACCTTATAAGTAGCGTGTTGTGTGAACAAAAAACGTTATTTCTTTCTTCCAATCTCGCACGAGAGAACGAGCATGCGTTCAATAGTCGGCAATGTGGAAACCACCAAAAAGGCACATATATGTAGTTCTGTACATTAGTTTGAGCAGAACTCAAATAATGACAACAGTATGTGTTTACAGGAAAAGAAGAGACTTGTTGATGGGGTCGTAAATCCATTCTTACGCAAGTTAACTATCCATACCTTACCAATCTGCTTCTCATGCACCATAGCGGGTCCTGGCGTCACGATTAATCGTGCATCGCAAGCACATGGGACTGGTTAGTGGGAACAGTTTTAGTGGCAAATGTGCATGGTCGACGTATTCGGAAAGCCCCATTGGGTGACGAAGTCTTAAAATTCACCAATAAAATGTGGTACAACATAGACAAAAATACTTATATGAAAGAGATACAAACCCTAATTCCAAAAGAGATTTTCGTCAAATTTTCACACAGATTGGCGCAAGAAGCTGAAGAACGCTATTATGAAGACGGTACACCCGGAGAAGATGGCAAATTGATGTGATTTAGCCACACACATGTACACAATACATGGTGATGTAGGTAGTCAGGAAGCGAGCGTAAAATGTTCTTAAAAATTGTTTAATAGGTCAAGGCTCAAAAGTTCGTGAGACTACCGGTTGATATGGAATCTGTGAGGTAGACGCGAAGAACAGTGGGTTCAGGCATTACAAGTAAAATAGGGACAATTCGGGGTTTGTGAGTAACAACGTGAAGATTGTTCAACGTCAGTATCGTTTGACTTTTATTCGTTAGAATACGGAGGACGCACGACATGGCAGCTACGTAAGAGAATAAAGGAACACAACCGATTGTAGCTGAAAAGCGAGTTTGGGCAATAAGGGTATTCGCGAAGCGGTTGCTCACTTGGTTGGTACTGGTCATTTCAAGTCATTCTCACACTTAGTTTCGGATACTGTGCAAAGTGCCGGTCTACTGGAATCGTTCGATGCCAGTGTCTGATCACAGTTAATACAATTACCGTTAGTCTACGTTAACCGATTCAATGCATTCGGAAGGCGATTGTGCGCACATTAAGTCCCCCCATAGTCTGCTAAAGTGAGCGCTGGCTGCTCAAGCCGAGTCAACCATGACTTAAACGGCCGACACATTTCCACTCATAGACCCCGCATGCTTCACTTACCTGTATGTAACGTTCGCTTCCAACTTCATAAATCCACGATCCGTGTTGGACGGAAGAGGAGATCTCGAATTCGTTGAGGTTTGTCAGCTAGAGTCCCGTTTTTTTATCATTCGTTTGATGTTTACCAACGATTTGCCTGGCGTTGCGAGAGTTTGGGTACGGTAGAAGACATATTTAACAGCTATAAAATAATTGGAATTGCCGGTAAAACAGTGGTAACTGTCGGCGTCATTGGGAGTCTACTCCGGAAAACGAGAATCGTAAACAACAAGCAATGGGTCTATTTTAACTTAAGTCGCCTTTAAGAAACCCTAGTCCATTCATACTTTCCCACTGACGTTAAGGTGATGCTTTTGACAAGTTCATCGCAGTAGTTTTTTATCCCACGTATTCCACAATTTATCGGGGTTCGAATCTTTCACAAATCTTCCAGCTAGATGAGTGGTTCATTGGCCTTAATCGCCTATGATGACGGTTTACAGGCAGTCACCAATGAAACAATCTACTGGTTATTGTCTGATACAATTAACCACTGCATACATATTACTACTTGGTGTCAACCAGCCAGCACTGATGGCTGCAGTATGTCCGCGCCTGACAACATTTGTTTTTGAGGAAGTATTTTGTTGCGTGTTTCACAGGGAAACTACGGCTTTGACGTTTGTTCCGGTGAGCAACAGGCACAGATTGCAACACTACCAGCAAAGCCTGAAAATAAAAACCATTTTCGTCATTTTTGTTCTTTTGGGCGTATCGCTTGAAAAGCACCTAGTTTACGGGTGCCGAAAAAATTGGTAAATGGTGGTTACATCTAATAGCGGTGTCTTGTCCACATTAACTGCAGCACAATGTTTAAAACCAAGCGTTTCAGGCATTCCACGGTCTTAAGGCGGAGACAGGGACCAACATGTCCGTTGGATGAGTGATTCATTTGGACACACACTTTGCGGTCGAACGGTCAGCACTCAAGGTTGTTTTGGCCAGCAGTAAACAGTACTTTGCCGCTAAGCAAAAATTCCACAAACCACGCGAATTTGCTGGCTCTCACAAAGGAGATACTCACGTTTGGCCAAGTACAAGTCTCCATTTGTAGAAGCGTTCATCTATTTATGTGAATTAGGTAACCAGGTAGTCACATCTGCATTCTAAACAAACATTATCCAGTTTAGAATTTGCGTTATATAGACACACTGAAGAAGGTGACGAGGTTCCACTTGTTTATTCAGGCCTCCAACCAAACAACTTACGGCCATTTGATATTTCTTCAACTGATTGCTGACGTAGTGATAGCGCATCAGTTTGTAAGTGTGCAAACTTTTGGAACCATTTAGTCTGGTGTAGCGTACACCTGTTTTTGCATTATTATTTTGAACTTTGGCCGTGACGAAAGCTAGATTTTTGTGGCGCGCTACCTGCCTTAGGTTTGTTCTACGCTGCGTGCATCCCGTTCTCCACGGCCATCAGCCAAGTACATATTTGTATCACAGTCGAGCTCCGCGTTCTTCCGAAAAGCCGAAAAGGCGGCATCGGAAGACTCGAACTGTTTGACTGTTGAACTGAGCGATTAATAGTGTGCCATACTTAGTGGGCGAAAACCGTGTAACCGTTAGTGCCATGCATAGCACTTAACCGGTCTCTAAATCCAGTCCTAAACTTTCAACAAGGATCGTGGTATTTCATCTCTAGATCGAACAGTGTACTTTGTTGCTTTTGTTGGTTAGTACGTCCAAGGCTCTGTACTAAATAGTTTCCTAAACCACTGTCATCCTTTGAAGTAACTTTCCTGACGAATGACATTCATCACAGACGCGAAGATTACAAATGTTCAGGTCACAGATTGGATGGAATGTAAGAACTGGCCCTTGGCAGAACTCCGGGTGATTGAAACTGGTATGCCATATGGCGTTTCCAGCAATCAATTGAGTCACGAACAAAACCCAAGAAGTCAACTCGTTCCAATGGATGTTTATCGACAAATGCGGTACTGTGAATATAATGGTGAAATAATAAAAATGCACATACCTCAAATCGTGGGACTGCGTTGAATTTTATACACCGGTTTAGGGACCGCTGATTCCGAAAGGGATCCAGAAGTTCATACCGACACAAGGCAGCGTGGTGACAATATAGCAAAACCCACGTTGTAGCGTGGGATGTCAGGAAGTCAGCGGTATTCGACGTTCGAGAGGACAGCACACGTCAGTTCTGAAATGTGCAGATATACGGACTGGTATTAATGAATCCACACAGTATGCACAGCACACATGCACACAGGTTGGGT